GGCGCGCGCCCGCCGCCCGCTGCGCCCGCGCTGCCTGCACACGGGCGGCATCTCGGGCATGCCCCGCGCCGCCGTGGCCATCAGCAACTGCGACGGACTGGTAAGCGCCGACGCCGCTCGCCCCRGCGGCGGCTCAGCCCGAAGGAGGCGCCGGGGTGGGTTTGGGTGCCCCTTCGCCTGTGGCCACAACTCCCTATATCCCATGTTACATCCCGCTGGGAGAAGCTTGTGGGATGCTCTGCTCTTCCCTGCACTCGCATGGCGGGTGTGAAGGGTCTTGCCAAGCTGGCATCCCCTCCAGGATCCCCTCCCCATGGCGCTCCTTCCCCGCTTTGGATGCACTCGGAGACGTCCCGCTTGGATTACGCATTGTCCTTCAGTTTCCCTTTGGGCCCGTTGTCCCCATCCTTAGGTGGAGCAAACTTTTCCCCGTGCTTTCTTTTCTTTCCTCTTTTGTTGTTACCTTATTTTGGGAGATCCTTAGCTGTTTGGGGCCGCTGGCGTAAATAGATCGACATTCCTTTCTTTTTATATAACGCGGAGCGATGCTATACGGGCAGAAATGACAGAGCGATGCCCACCAAAATATACATATTTCACCTACACGTGGTTTAGTTTTGCCCGCAACTTTACCGGGTAACCCAAAATAATCTTTCAAGTGCCTTTTTTGGGCATTTTTTTCCTAAAATCGAAGCTGCGGGAGGTCTGCTGGCCTAGCCCTTCTTCTCGGTGGTGCCTCTTTTGCTCTGGCAAATAAGCCCCTCTATCTCCAGCATCGATATCCCATGGGCTGAGCACACGGAGACTGCGGGCTGGGATGCGTCCAAGGAGGAGGCTCTGCTCCCACTGGCAGGGACGTTCGGGATGCCGTTGGTTGAGCCAACGCGGGCAGCGCTGGACGCGGGGAGCGGGATCTCCCATTGGCACGCCGTGATTGCCGCTGACTTTTCCGGAGCTTATCCATGGAGTTGGTGAAGGGATTAGGGCTCCCGGCATGCGTGGGAACCGATGGGTCTCTCTTGGCTACTGGGCGAAGCCTTCTGGGCCGGTGCAGATGGGAACTGTGTATGCAAAGCGATGCGGCTGTGTATAAACCCAGGCCAGGTTTATAAATAATTTGGATTCCCTTTTTCTTTTTTTTTTTTTTTTTTTCCAAGAACTATTAAGCACTATTAAATCTTCCCTGAATTCCTGTTCAGTTGCTGAACCCCTCTACCCTTCCTGGCCTCCCGGGTGATTTGCTGCTTGCAGAGCTCGTTTGCTGGGAGCAGCGGGATGAGCAAAGGAGCTGCAAAGTTTATTCCCCGGGTTGAATTTGGGTGAAAAAGACTGAAACTTCCACCGYGTCCTCCACCGCCTGCATCGTACCCAGGTCCTGTTTGCTTGTCCCGCGTGCAGCATCTCCGCCACCGGCCCCGCTTTCCAGGACGGTTTGTCCAAATGAAGTGTGAGAGGCAGAGGGAAAACACACACTCGGCACGCACGCCGCTTCCCGCGCCGCAGCGAGCGGCTCTAGGCGTTTTTCCACGTCCCAGCCGCAGCGCTGGCGCTTCCCGAATTCCCCTGGGAATTCGCCCTCCTCTGCAGCCTCTCCGCGGTGGGGAATTCTGCCCCGCCGCAGCCCGCGGAGGCGGCAGGAGCTGGAAAAGAGCCCCRGCAGCGACGAGCCTGGGGGCTGAAAAAATATATATTCTTTTTTCCCCCTTTCCCCCTCCCCCTTTTCAGTGAGATTTGCTTCAAAGGGCCATTTTCTGGCATGATAATTGCCCGGATTGCAAACGGGAGGCAGCATCTCGGATCGGGAATCTCATTAATGCTCTTCCTGTCTTGCCAAAACTCGTTTTTAAGTTCTGCGCCCACCTCTGGAAACGGTGGGGACGAGGGGCCCGGTGGATGCTGCGGGCACCCAAGTCCATATCCGTGCTCGTCACGCCTTGGGGTGGCACGTCCTCACTCCGAGACCCGCCACTCAACAAACTGGAGAAGGGGAAGATGAGCGCGAAYGCGGAGAGGAAGAGGAAGGCAGAGGAGCAGGAGGAAGAGCGAGGAGCCAAGCGTGAAGAAGAGGAGGCGGGCGCGCGCCGAAGCCCCGGATGGCCGCACTGAATGCGGAGGGGATCAAGTGACCCGGGCGCGCTTGGAAGAGCCCCAGCTCGCGGCGGCTGTTTACAAAGCGCAGCCGGGCCTCGGTGCTGCCGGGAAGCACTCGCGCTGCTCCCCGCTCTCCGCCCGGAGCTGCGGGATGCTGTCGGGGCCACGGAGGAGCCGCTGGCTTGGGGACAAGAGGGGACAACGTGACTTGCTTGCATGGTTATGTCCCACCACCCGATGTCTTTGGCTTGCCCCAGCTCCTAGGCATAGTGGCTTGGGTTGCTTCCAGGCAGGTTTTTTGGGAGCTCAGCGTCCTTTGTCGGCAAAGCTTTGCCCCCTCGTTTGTCTTCCCCTTGTCGGGGAGGTATTTGGAGTCGTGACACTTCCCAGAGTCTCCAGGGTTTCCCCTGCGGTGACATCCAAGCGCCCCATGGGCCGAGAGGGCCCTTTTTGTCCTTCCTTTGCTGCTCATATCGTTGGACCGGTGACTGGCTTGCCTGCTGGCACATCCAGCTACAATTTAGGGGTGGAGATGGAGATCTGGGAGGACAACTCCTTGGAGGGTTGGCCAAAGCCACACAGGGCGCTTGGTGGCCATATAACCGCTTGACCTATGGCCTGGTTGTTTGGGTATTCCCTCCTGTTTCTCCCCAGCTAGAGGAGAAAGTAAGGGTCGTTACACACAACCGTGGGGATGAGCTCGATGGTTGATGTAGCTGACACAAGGGCAAGGTGGAGATAGGGTGGTGGGTCTCCTGTGGTTGAACCACCCCATTTTATCCYGAAATGGAGGGCATCCATACAGAAATCCATATATATGCATTTATTCACTTATGCCTACCCGCACGTGCCCTTTCTCCCCGTGTCTTTTCTGTGCCGTCCAGGCGGGCCTGATTCGCACCGAGCGCGACGAGTTTTTCATCGAGCCCCTGGAGCGTGGGCGGCAGGAGACGGAGGCGCACGGCCGGGCCCACGTCGTGTACCGCAGGTCGGCCGCCCGGCGTGACGGCCCGCGSCCCCTCCAGCACCTCCCCGTCACAGGTAGGCTCGAGAGGCGGCCATTCCGGGGTTGAGGTGTAGGGTTGGGAAGAGTTGGGTCTAGGAGGAGGTGGGGAGGATGTGTTGGGCCTTGAGCTGACCGGAGGCGTCTCTGTGGCCTCCTGTTGCCTCTGTAACTTGTTGTGGGGGCTGGGAATGGGGTGGGAGCTGGAAATGCCTCCTGAGGGCTTCTCCCGGCGCGGGCAGCACCCCACTCGCCACTGGGAGAGCTGCCCAACTCGCTGGAGCTGGTGGCCGAGCGGCTCGCCGAGGCCGAGCGCAAGCGGCGCCACGCCAAGAGGGACGACTACAACATCGAGGTCCTGCTCGCCGTGGACGACTCGGTGGTGCGCTTCCACGGCAAGGAGCACGTCCAGAACTACGTCCTCACCCTCATGAACATAGTAAGGCTTTTCCCCTGTTTTTTTTAGAATGCTACAGACAGGGAGGGTGCGTTGGGTTGCCCACAGYGGCCCATCTTGGCCATCTTGGGTTGTAGGTGGTGTCTTAAGAGGGTTCATGAGGGTTTGCTTAGCAGGGAGAAGTCTGTTCCTCAGCACGAGGCCGGAAAAGGAYGTTTTGGTCATTTTGAGGAGGAACTCTGAATTCCCCCAAGTTTTCACACAGAAGTCCAGTCAATAAATTGAGTCTCATAAAGCACTCGTGTAGTTCCAAAAGTTGGGAACTTTTCATTTTTCATTTTCATTCATTGCCTTAGAGCCAGGCAATGTCTGCGTGAATTGTCACAGCATCCACTGTTTCAAACAGGAATATTTTTTCTTTTTTTTTTTTTTCTTTCTTTCTTTCTTTTTTTAAAAAGGGAAGGGAAAAAAAAAGAGAAAAGCCCCATAAATCTGGCTTATGTATTCATAATATTCTTGTGGTCTGGAAAATTCTGACGTAGTTGAGGAAAATTATTTCTCCCTTGGATGAGTGGTTTTTTTTTTTTTTTTTTTTTTTTTTTTTTAAAGGGAGCTGGTAGCTCTCAGATTTTGCAGAATTGCCCCAGACATTGTCCTGACCATTTCAAGATCATAAATCTCTGTTTTTTTTTTTTTTTTTTCATCCCACGAACTTGGGCTCCATAGGGGGAAGATGCTCCGTGGCCGCAGCAGGAGCCATGGGAACCCCGGTCGGCTCCGGCTTTCCCAGCAGCAGCAGTGAGGTCATCCTACATCTGAGATGGCCTCCCTGGCAGCCTTGGCTCGGGCCAAAATTATTGGGACTTGACTGCTTTGTTTTGTGGCTTTTAATCCTCTCCCCCCCAAAAAAAAGGAACAAAGACAAAAAGCTGGGGAGAAAGATGAAGATGCGATCCTAGCACTTGACCTGGTGGGAAGAGTGGTAGGAGTGGGAAAGAGTGACTGTGGCCTCAGCATTTATTCCTGCTTGATCCCCATTTATTATTGTGGGTTTATATATATATGATATATGTGTGTATTTATATATATATWTTTTTTTCCCTCCTCAGGTGGATGAGATTTATCATGATGAGTCCCTCGGCATCCATATCAACATCGTGCTGGTCCGGATGATCCTGGTGGGATACCGGCAGGTAAATGGAGCAAAATCCTTTGGAAGGAGGTTTGTGTGCACTGTTTTCACAGGGCAGGCTGCTTCGCAGCGAATCCATCCCGTAACTCCTCCCCAAGGAGCCAGGGTAGGCGCAGGGAAACTAAATCCTCTCGCTTTCCCGCGCGGCCGGGCTCCTGGGGCATCCTGGAAGAAAGGAGGTTTTGTCAGGAGTGCCGGGTCTCACGGTGCGGAAGGCGCCTAGAAACTGGCAGGGAATTTGAGCCGCTAGAAAACAGGAGGCGGGGGCGAAAGCCTTGAATTTTAAAGCCTTTTCCGTAGGACCTGCTGCTTTTCTTTGCGTCCTCCTGCAGTCGGTGAGCCTGATCGAGCGCGGGAACCCGTCGCGGAGCCTGGAGCAGGTCTGTCGCTGGGCCCATGCGCAGCAGCGCTCCGACCCGGAGCACGCCGAGCACCACGACCACGCCGTGTTCCTCACCAGGCAAGATTTTGGTCCCGCAGGTATGCAAGGTACTGTATTTGTCTCCATCAGGTACGTGCAGGTCGCTGGGGGAGAGCCTGGACTTCTCGCCAAYGTGGTCCTGACGTCGCTGGCCAGCGGGTCTAGAAAAAAGGGATAAAAACCAGTATTTTCTTTTTAATGTGCAACAGAACACGGAATTAGTCYAGGGCATCATTTTATTTAAGTTCAGGAAACCTTTAGCTTTTTAAGCCACTTAGGTGGACAACCACTAAAGCCTGATTTTGCAAGGATCGTTCTCTTGGCCATCTCGGGACCCAACACTGGAGCTTGGGGCAACAGCGATGCCCAAACCTGGGGTCAAAGCATTGAGGAGCCCAAGCAAAAAGCAGCATAGGGGAAATACCGGTTTTTATTTCATTTTTCTAGACCCTTCCTGGCAGAGAGACTGGGTCCCAAGGCCTTGGTGAAAGGACCTTTCTTGACATGCAGGCGTAAGGAGGTGGCTCGTTATGCTTCCTTCTTGGTGGGAAGGAGCCTTGGAGACTGGGATTTGCTTGGGAATGTTCCCCCACAGTGGATACGTGTCTCGGGAGAGGGGGCCAAGGCCCATTTGTTGTTGCTTGTCTCCCTTCCATCCCAGAGGGAGCTGCAGATAAATCCCATGCAGAAGGTTCCAGCCCCTCTGCTCCCTAGACCAGGGCTTGGAGCACAGGGCCCCGGAGTTGTGGTGGCTCCCATAATCCAGGAAATCCTGATTTTCCTCACTGTACTTCCAGGCTCACAGGTGGTTGGCCCTGCTAGGTAGCAATGATGGGTCCACATCAGAGGGTGCTGATAAAATTAATCTAGCAGCCCCGCTCCAGGGATGCTCGTTCCAGCTCCTTACCTTGTTCCCCGTGGATCTGGCCTCTGCTTCTCACATGTCTCCAGGTGCCCATTTGCTTTCAGCAGAACTTGTGGCTGTCATATTCTTGCCTGGTTGTGTTGGCTAGTCCAACACATGATTGCTGCTTGCCCAGCAGGAACTACCCTCCCTTTGGGCTGCTGGGATAGGAACATTCGGCTTCCTCCTGCTTCCTCTTCTCCAAATGATGCCCTTTTTTCCTCCCTACCCGCTTCTTGGCTCAGGGGAGGATGCGAGCCAGGCCATGGTGCCCCATATTCACAACACCTGCTGATGGAGAAGCCCCACTCGCAGCATTTCCCAATGTGCATGGGAGAAGGCCCGGCCAAAGCTGGGTAATTCTGGAATTACCCAGCAATTACTGCTTTTTCTGAATTAAAGAGAAGTTGGACGACGTGAAGCGAAAGGGCCACAAGGCAGAGCTGAGCTCTTCGGTCCTTGCACGCGGGCTGCAGACAAAGCCTGGGCTTTGATGCATTATTTTATAGTAAAGCCCGATCATCARGATCTCTCTCTCAAGCTCTTAATTCGACCTGTGTTGAAAAGATCTTTGCCGTGAAGTGCTTTCTCAGAGGTTACCCGGTATTTTGCAGGCAAAARTGAATTTTGGAGTTCGCCTTAGGCTTTTGCTCTGGCAGTCGTGATCAGCCAGCTTCTGCTTTGAGTTATGCTCAAGCAAAAAGGAATCTGTTTCCTCCCACAAAACGCCCCRTGGATGTGCCCTGCAAGGGTTAGTGTCTGGGCTTGTTATGAAAAATGAAATTGTTATGACAGGCGAGATTTCCTTTGAAAGTTCCGGTGCAGGACGACACCCTGGAAAATCTCCTCTCTGCCGATAAACACCCGTGACAAGGGAAACGCCACCCTGGTCCTCTCAAACAAGTCGCTTCCTCTGTGTCTCCRTTGCTTAGAGGTTTTGCACATGGGCAGGAAAGATTGAAAGTGCTGAGCCCGGCTTGGGAGAGCTCTTGGTGTGGCTTGTTCAGCTCAAAATCCAGAGATGTCCTGTCTCTCTRTCCTACCCTTTTCTTTCCTTTTGTGTCTTGGCTGATGGCAGTTTCCAGGCGTCCAGCTGTGCGATGGCAACGTGTCCCTTGTCCCCTTTGAACATCAGGTCTTCTCAGGAGGGCCACAAAGACAGTTATGGTTGTCATTAGCTTCCCTGATGTCTGGATGGGGCTTGGAGATATTTGGTGACCCAAGTCCTCTCTCCTGCTACAGCTTGGCTACCCTCTTGACTCACCGATCTTGACTCTTAGAGCTTTTCTATCCCAAAATGTGGAATTATTGAGCATGGTCCTGCCTTGCTTTTGCCGAAGCTCCTGAGGACCCGTGAAGACTTCCCTCCCTAACTTCCTTCCTGTGATGGGAAAAAGGGCCTTTCATTCGGAAGGAGGATGGAAAGAAAGAAAGAAAAGGAGAGATTTCATTTCAAAAGGTTCATTTTAGAAGGTGACTGAACTGGGCAGAAGTAATGTGTGGAGAACAAGAAGAAGAAAATGGTCAACGAGGTGGACCAACTAATGCTGCTAATGCTGCTCGCGGGAGGGGAGGCATCTGCTGCCCCATTGCACTGCACTTGATCAAGGGGTTGTGCTGAAGAGGTTCATGGCCCTCCTGGCCCTGTGGTGCGTGGATGTGCCCCGGGTTTTCGGGATGGGGACGTGTGCATGCGCAGGTGCCTGGCCAAGGCCCGTGGTGACATCTCTCTTTCAAGCCTCTYGGTGGCATCAAGAGGCAGTGAGAGGGATGGGTTAATCCCTGTGGCCCAAAGTCCTTTCTCTCTCTCTTTTTCCTCTCTCCCTCCTCTCTGTTTCGGCAGGGTACGCGCCAGTGACGGGGATGTGCCACCCGCTCCGCAGCTGCACCCTCAACCATGAAGACGGCTTCTCCTCGGCTTTTGTTGTCGCCCACGAGACCGGCCATGTGTAAGTCCCCCGAGGAGCAGCTCGTGCCTCCTAATCTGAAGAGGAGCGAGCAGCCCAACCTAAATGCCACCTTTAAGGGATCCGATGGGCTGATGCGAGGCCAAAAGGGCGCACGGGCTTCTCCAACAGGTTGGGGATGGAGCACGATGGCCAGGGCAACCGCTGCGCAGATGAGACCAGCATGGGGAGCATCATGGCGCCGCTGGTGCAGGCCGCCTTCCACCGCTACCACTGGTCCCGCTGCAGCAAGCAGGAGCTGAACCGCTACATACAGTAGGTCATGCCTGAAGGCCCTTTGGCCACTTGGTTTGCACGAGGGCCGAGGAGGTTCAGACCCCCCAATCCCAGGGAGAGGGGTGAAGGTCATGGAAGGAGGTTGCTCCTCAGCTTTCCTTGCCTCCGCGTGGTGTCCGTGCAGCTCCTACGACTGCCTGCTGGACGATCCCTTCGAGCACCACTGGCCCAAGCTCCCCGAGCTCCCGGGCATCAATTACTCCATGGACGAGCAGTGCCGCTTTGATTTCGGCGTGGGCTACAGAACGTGCACGGCGGTGAGGACGGCCCCGGCATCGCGTATCCTGCCGATGCTCCCCCTGCCATGGGGTTGTATCAACCTTCCCTGCCCTCGGGGAAGGGTCTCGGGAGGGTGCCCGTTGCGGCCCTGAGAGCTGCACCGCTGCCTCCTTTGCAGTTCCGGACCTTCGATCCCTGCAAGCAGCTGTGGTGCAGCCACCCGGACAACCCTTACTTCTGCAAGACCAAGAAGGGGCCGCCGCTGGATGGCACCGAGTGCTCGGCGGGCAAGGTACGGGCACCAAAACCCCTGCRCCCATGCATGGGCATCAACTGGGGGTGCCGAGCTTTTAGGCCAGCCTTTGGGATAGGTCTTGGCGCTCAGGAATGCTCCAAGTCAGCCCATCTCTCCACCATGGTCCCTTGCTTGAAGAAGTCGTGTTGTGCCTATTTTCCCCTCCAGTTATGCAATGCAGCTGTGTTGAGGGACGTTCATCTGTTGGGCAAGCTAGGGCGAGCTTGGGGGTGGATCTGCCCTTCCCGTCTCCCTGTCGCGAATTGGAGATCAGAGTTTCTGCAAAGTCACAGCCAGAGTCGCCCTCTTCCCTTCGGAAGAGGCAAGCGCGCAGGCAACGCCGTCCCCGCTCCCTTGCAGTGGTGCTTCAAGGGGCACTGCATCTGGAAGACCTCGGAGCAGCCCTACAGCCAGGACGGCAGCTGGAGCTCCTGGTCGCGGTTCGGCTCGTGCTCGCGGACGTGCGGCGGCGGCGTGCGCTCCCGCAGCCGCAGCTGCAGCGACCCGCCGTACGTGGGCGCGYGGGCAGGGGCGGGGGCAGAGCGCGCCGGGCGCCGGTGCGCCGCGGCACCCACTCGCCGTGTCTTCCAGCCCGGCGTACGGCGGGCGCCACTGCCCCGGGGCCGCCTACGAGTACCAGGTGTGCAGCGGCGAGGAGTGCCCGGGCCCCTACGAGGACTTCCGCGCGCAGCAGTGCGCCAAGCGCGACTCCTACTACACACACCAGGGCGCCAAGCATGCCTGGCTGCCCTACGAGCACCACGACGGTGGGCAGCCCTCGCCTTCCCCAAAGCGCCTCTTGGCTCCTGGTGCCCCACGCTTGGGTGACACCGTCTTGTATCTACTCCTGGCCGCAGATGCCCAGAAGTGCGAGCTCATCTGCCAGTCGGCGGGCACGGGCGACGTGGTCTTCATGGACCAGGTGGTTCACGATGGCACCCGCTGCAGCTACCGGGACCCGTACAGCGTCTGCGTGCGGGGCGAGTGCGTGGTAAGGGGCTCCCCACGGGCGGGAGGATGAGGAGGGCAGGGGGCCTGAGGCCGCGCGCGGCGGAGAGCTAACGGCGGTGCTTGCCCCCCACCGCGCCGTGGCAGCACGTTGGCTGCGACAAGGAGGTGGGCTCGCTCAAGCAGGATGACAAGTGCGGCGTGTGCGGCGGCGACAACTCCCACTGCCGCACGGTGAAGGGCACCTTGGCCAAGGCGCCGAAGCAGCTGGGTGAGCCGGCGGCGGYGCGCGACGGCTCGCCGCGCAGATTGTGGTCCTCACGGCTCCCTCTGTCCTCCCGTCCTCCTCCTCCTCCTCACTCTCTTCCAGTGGGCGTTGTGAAGATGTTTGAGATCCCCGCTGGCGCGAGGCATGTGCAGATAGAAGAGATGGAGCCGGCGACCCATGGCATTGGTGAGTCGTGAGCTGGCGCCCATGGAGTGAGAAGCAGGAGCAAAAGGGTGACTGGATGCACGGGTCTTGTTGGAGTGAGATGGGTGGCCTTGGGCAAAGTCAACACTGCTGTGGCTCACGAAATTCTCTGACTGCTGTAACTGTCRGTTCGTGTTCGGGACCGTGATAGCAGGGGGTTGTGTGATGGGACACGTCCAGGGTTGATGCACTGGGCGCCTCAGTCAAGACCATCTGCTTAGAGGAGCTTCAAAGACTTGTGCTGCACCAGGAATGGTCTCACCTTGACCTCCTTTGAAGGTGGTGGCCAGAAGAAATGATGACCTTGTAAATACCGTCTTTCTTCTCCAGCTGTTAAGAATCAAGCCACGGGAGACTTCATCCTTAACGCCAAGRGCAAGGAAGCCAAAAGCCATGTGTTCATTGGGATGGGCCTGGAGTGGGAGTACACCGTGGAAAACGGCAAGGAGAGCTTGAAAACCAGCGGCCCCCTGCATGAAGCCATCAGTGTCTTGGTGAGTCCTGTCGGTGCACGAAGTTCTCCCGTTCTCTAGTTTCTCTTGCTGTTTTTATGTTGTATGTTCAATGCCACGTTGGTGTTGCCTATGGCTTTGTCTCCAATTCCTCTCGTCTCCACCAGCTCCTTCTGTGGTTTTCCATCCCTGTGTGCTCCGCACTGATGGTCCTCCCTCCTCCTCCAGGTCGTCCCCGAGGAGGAGGAGGAGGCCAAGAGCAGCCTCATCTACAGGTACATCATCCACGAGGACCTGCTGCCGCTGATCGGGAGCAACAACGTTCTGCTTGAGGAGATGGATTCCTACGAGTGGGCCCTCAAGAGCTGGTCACCGTGCTCCAAGGCGTGCGGAGGAGGTACCGCGCCGGCTTCGGGGCGCRCTGGGCGGGCTGCGGGGCTCGCGAGGCAGCGCCCGCCTCCCCGTACCCCCCGCAGGCRTCCAGTACACCAAGTACGGCTGCCGCCGGCGAAGCGACAGCCGCATGGTGCCCAGGAGCCTGTGCGAGCCYGGCAAGAAGCCGAAGCCCATCCGGCGCCGCTGCAACCTGCACGAGTGCTCCCAGCCAGCGTAAGTGCCCCTCGACCGCCGAGCCCCASCGTCCCTGCCCCTTGCTAACGTGTCCCCCCCATCCCTGTGTCCCCAAACTGCCCCCTCCTCGGCAGCTGGGCGCCCGAGGAGTGGGGCGCCTGCAGCAGGACGTGCGGCAAGCTGGGGCTGCAGGTGCGGGCCGTGCCGTGCGTGCAGCACCTGCCCAACGGCACGAGCCACGCCGTGCACGCCAAGTACTGCGGCGGCGAGCGCCCCGAGAGCCGGCGGCCCTGCGCGCGCCCGCCTTGCCCGCCGCAGTGGCGCACGGGTGCCTGGTCGCAGGTGAGGCGGCGGCAGCGGCGGCACCGCGCGCCGGTCCCGGCGCCCTCCGCCCACGGCCGCTTTTGGCTCCGCAGTGCTCGGCGAGCTGCGGCGAGGGCGTGCGCCGGCGGCAGGTAGTGTGCAAGGGCAGCGGTGGCGGCGGCGCGGCCGCGCGCTGCGCCGGCCCCAAGCCGGAGGCTGTCGGCGTGTGCCACGCGCCCRGCTGCCCAGGTGAGCGGGCACCGCGGGGTGTGGGGCTGGCGCGGAGCGCCCCGGGGGCCAACASGCCCCACGGCCTCCGTTGGGCACCGGCCCCACGCCCCGACACTGCTCACTCACCGCAGGGCAGCTCCCCGGCGTCGCGGCCGGTGAGCCCGTGACGCCCCCCGTGCAGCGGGTGTCCCCGGTGGGGCCCCAGAACCCYGTCAGCAAGGTCTCCTCCAGTAAGCGTGCACCTCGCCTGCCCCACAGCCCCCRGGGGCTCCAAAAGGAGCCCCGTTGGTGCGTCACGGTGGCAGCGCTGACGCGGTGCGCTCGCGCGCTGTCGCCCCTCAGAGGAGCCCTGCCTTGGGGACAAGTCCATCTTCTGCCAGATGGAAGTGCTCGCCCGCTACTGCTCCATCCCCGGCTACCACAAGCTCTGCTGCGAGTCCTGCGGCAAGAAGACCGCGGCCACCGGCCCGCCCGACCAAGCGGCCTCCGCCAGCCCCGCGGCGCCGAGGCCCCCCGBGGCCACCGCCACCCCGGCGCCTCGGGACGCCACCGTGGACATGTCCCCGCCGCCAAGCCCGCGTTCGGGCGCTGCGCTCGGCACCGCTGCGCCGCCCGCCACGTGAGGCCCCGGGTCGGCACCGGCCTCCCTCCCGCTGCCTCCCTCCGCTGCGTTGCCTCCCGCTCGCCTCCCAGCGCCCTGCAGCCGCCGTCGGCGGGCGCCTTCGGCAAAGCCGGCGTGCTTGGAGACAGACCCGCGGCCTCCCGGGGAAGCCRCTTTCTGCTTGGGATGTTGTCGTCTCTCCCGCCGCTTCCCAGCTGCGGCGGCACTTTTATTTCCACACGGTGACGTGGAAAAAGGTCCCAAAAACGTGTCGGGGCCGCGRGGCCGGCCTCTTATGCTCATGGGTGCCTTGAAGCGGCGGCTGCCTTCTTTTCCCCTCGAGGTGCTACCCATCGTGGCAGGGTCGCTGCGACTGCTCGCCCAGGGCTGGCTCGCTGCAGGCACCGAGAGCGGGGCCCAGCGCGCGCAGGGAGCCTGGAAAGGCTCCGTCCCAGGGGAGGCTGGAAAAGGGGCTGCGTTCCCTGTCCCGGGGAGCTCCGCGCGGTGGCGCGGGGACGAGGAGCGCTCGGCGCCGACACGGGCGCTTCCCGACGGCCTTTCCACCCTCTATTTATTGAACCAAAGAGCCRTGCTCCAGTCGCTGCGCTGGAGGCAGCCGATAAACCCCAAACCTCCCCAAAACAAGGGGGGAAGGCGGGCGGAGGGGAGGCCGCCCCATGCCGGGGCCGGCCGGGCGCATCCGCTCATCCCGGTGCCGCAACTGTGTCCGCCGGGCTGCTGTATAAAGTTTTGTACATACGAGATTCAGAGCTTTTTAATTTTTAATATTTATTAATATTTTTGTTGGGTTCTTTTTTTTTCTTTTTTTTTGGAACTCTAACAGTAAAAAAGAAATAAAGTGAAATCCACACCTGCCTCTCAATCTTTCGTATTTGTGCCTCGGGGGCACATGTGCCGCTACAGGTGTGGAAGGGGCATATAGACAGGTATGTACATGTAAATATGTATGTATATTTAAGTGTATATACATGTTATATATATGTATATACATATGAATGTGTCTATATACTAAATATATGTACGGGAGCGTGCACAAATACAGAGCTTGGCCGTCCCGAAGCTCCCATCGGTGTGCTCAGGGCCGTGCCGGGACGGCCAGGCGCCGGCGGAGGTGCCCGATGAAGTCGGCCTGGCTCTGGGGCAGCGTGCGCTGGAGCACCGAGGTGGGGATCCAGCCCTTGGGGAGCGGGGAAGGAAGCGGCAAAATTGTGAATAAAAGYGAAAATCGTGAATGAATAAATAATATCAGAGGTGGAGGGGCACCTGACCTTCAGGTCCACGCAGAGGAGCCAGGTGAGGCGGGTCCGGCCGGGATCCCCGTCCAGCGGCTGCAGCACCATGCAGCTGAGCCGCGACTCGGCCCTGGTGTGGGGAGCGCGTCAGCGCCGCAGGGCGCTCGGGGGGCGCGCGGCGGGCGCGCGGGGGCGGCTCTACCTGATGCAGCCCGGCGGCGGCGGCGGGGGCCGCTCGCTGGCGGGGGCGGCCGTGCCCACCAGGTAGACGGCGGTGGCGGTGCGGTGGCGGCGCCGCACGCTCACGAAGTCACGGCGTCCCGCGAGGTCCCCGGCGCGCTGCGCCGTCACCTCGTGCGTCAGCAGCGTGTCGGGCCCCGTGCGCCGCAGCACCTGCGCGGGGCGCCCCGTGAGCCCGGCGCGCCGCCGCGTCCCCCCACCCCGTCTCATGCCGCCGGCGCCTACCTGGACGCGGCCGAGCGCCGGGTACCACTCGGGCATGCGCTCGATGTCGTTGAAGAGCTCGCGCTGGAGCCGCGCCGGTGGCGCGCGCAGCACCGCCTCGGCGCGGAACACCCTGCCCAGCCCCGGCAGCACCGCACTAGCCACGGCGGCGCCCGCCTCCTGCGAGAGGGCGGCGTCACCCCCCCGAGCAGTGCCCCACGCTGTGCCCCCCGTGCCCGGACCCTTACCYGCGTGCTTTCTGCGCGCCAGCCGTGCCGCTGCTGCAGGATGCGCAGTGCGCTCTGCAGGGCCCACTCGCCGGCGCTGGGGTCCGCACTAGCCAGCGTGCTGGAGCCCACGGCATCGGTCGCCTCCGGACGTGAATCTGTAGGAGCAAGCAGGGTGGCGAGGTTGTTGCATCCTCCGTGTCCGCTCGCTCCGGAGCGTCCCGGCACCGGGATACTTACCGGCATCGCTCCCCGCAAGTGTGGGGAGGCAGCAGGGCGCCCTCAAGGGCTGCCACCGCGCCGCCCATCGCAGCAGCCCTTGCACATCCTTCTGCGGGCCTGGAGAGCAGAGGGGCGCGTGGCGGTGATGCCAGTGGCCGCGAGGCGCCCACGTAGCCCAGAGCCCGTCCCCGCGTCCCCGTGGCCGCGCTCACCGGGCAGCCGGCGCAGGGGGTCGTGCGCGATGCCGCAGCACAGCTTGACCGTGGCCCGCAGCATGGCCGCGAGCGCGGCCGCCCGCCCCGTGCCCTTTATAGCACTCCGTGTGCAGGGCCGAGCTCGAGGAGGGGCAGACGAGGCTGGGGGAGGTCTCCTCAAAGGGACTCCCCTTCTCCGGGCTCGGAGCGAGCGCCGGGGCCACCCTGCACCTGATTTGGGGAGGTTTGGGGTCACGCAGGAGATAGGGGCGCCACTCTTCTCGCGCGGGCACGCAGGGATCCTCCCATTCGGAGGCGAGGGCGAGTCCTCGGGGAAATGGCAGGGTGTCCTTGAGGGGCGGGATCGCCCCGTAACCAGCGGAGCCTTGGTGCGGGGGAAGCCCTGGCTTTTGTCAGCGCTTTGGCCGCTCTCCACCCACCTCGCGGTGGTCGCAAGGGGAGGAGAAGGTCACGGCCGCGCGCGCCGGGGCATCCGTCCTGCCGCAGCACCCCAGGAGTGGGGATGAGCTGCTCGTGGTGGGAGCCACAGGTATCTGCAGTGCCCATTGCCCTGTGCCCAGGAAAAGCTAAGGACCAGCAAAGGTAGAAAAACACATCTCCTTTATTTCCGCTCACAATCAAAGCACTTGGAATTAGCATCTCCAGGTGGAAAGGCAAGCGAGTTTCCTTGRAAGTACAGACCCTGTGCTACTTTTGAATCACCGTCACCATCTGGGCAATGTTCCATGTCCCACGTTTTCCTAAAAAAGCATGTTTTCTAACACACACAGAAAAGAAAGGGCTATGAGTAGGGGCTGAAGAAACTCAGCTCTTCCTCCCGAGCCTCCCTCCAGAGCCCAGCTTTTGTGGAGGAGAGCAGCGTGACTCGAGAGGGAGATTCAAAAGAGCGATGGTTTGGTCACCCCAAGCGCCCGCGTCAGCGCAGAGCTGCCCTATCTCTCCTGGGAACGGGGCCTTCCGCGCGGCGGCTCAGGGCAAGCTCATCTGCAGCGCCCGTCTCCTTTGAAAGAGCAGGGGAGATGCTGGTCAGGCGATAAGAGAGGCCAGACGCTTCTCCTCTGCTATGTAAACTTGGCATCAAGAAGAGGAAAGGAGGCTCCAGGCGGGAGCCACCCCATCGTACACGAGCTCTGCATCTGAGCAGGGGCACGTGGCGCGAGGGGAGCGCGCCAGCTCTCCTAGTCTTCGCTCGCCGCCAGCAGCAGGCTGCACATCCTGGAGTTGGCCCTGTGCAAGGCGAGCTGCCGCCCGGCCACGGTGCCCTGCCGGCCTTTCCGTGTGGTGCTGCTCTGGCTCCCGACCGATTTGGACGTGGTGAAGATCTCTCTGTTGGAGCAGAGCGGATTGGTCAGAAGGTCAACCCATCCATCTCTCGTACCAACGTAGCCACACCAAGACTTTGTATTTCCAGAAGACTTGATGGTTGGGGATGGTCTCTCCACCCACCTTGCCTCACCATGAGTTTGTAGAGTTGTTCCCTAGTCCCCCTCCTGGCTTTGGCCCAACCGGCTCAACAGGGGTTGAGTCCCATGGAGTTTCCACATTGTCCCTTGGGTGGGGAGGAAAGCAAGGGGGAGTTTTCTTGGATATAACCGTGCTCCTCACAGCCATAGGCTGAAATGGAGGAGCTCTTATTTGGGAAGAGTGCGGGAGAAGGAGCAGCACCTGTCCATGTCCATGATACCCACGCTCTCTACTTGAACTTGGTGCCTTGGACAATTAAACCCTGACCAAGACCGATATATCTTAACATCCCCTCTGAAAGACATATCCAGGCAAATACAGTAAAGCAGAGCTCTTAATCTTATATGTTAATAGAGGGATAAATAAAGCATAAAAACTGCACAGAGCAGTTTATTGCCTTCTTACCATAGAAAATTACCTAGYGGTTTTCTGGGGAGAGGATATAGTTAATCTTGATGCTCTTTAGCTCAGTTCTTTGTCTGGGGCTCTCTGAGGCTCCTGTGGCCTTCCCCTCACGTCCCTTGTTAGGAGGACCAACTTGTGCTTGCTTAGGTTAAATTCTGTCTGTGTCCTTCACCGCAGCTTCAGGGCTTACCTGTACGGGACCTGGTCCTCTCTGAGCTGCAGGCACATGAGCACAGGGCTCTCGGAAAACCGCAGGGCCGTGTCAAAGTGGATTGAGGTCTCCACCTCGGTCTGGCTTCTCATGGTGGTTTGGAAGAAAGGGGCATCTAGCTCTGCCTGGAAATCGATGGCTAGGCTTGCCCTGCAAGAGCAAAGAGCGCAGGTCCAGCCATCAGGCCTGGTGCTGTGCCTGAGCACCCTGCAAGCACCCCAGTTTTAAGTCTACCTYTGGACAGGAAGTGTTGTCAGTGTCCACCAGATCCCCACCCACCTCTCCACCCTTCCCAAGTACAGGCATGGCTGGACACAGTGGAAGAAGGGCATGGGGGCAGTTGCAAGGCAGTCTAAGAGCGGGCAGCCTTCGTGCTGTGTCTGAAGACCCTCCTGGGTAGCCTGTGTTCCCAGAGCCATTTCCCATCCCCTGACCTTGTGTTGATGCTGGTCTTCAGGTCCTGCTCCCATATGCTCACGTCCATGTTGGCTGAGATGTCAAGCCCAAGCCCACCTTGGAGTTTGACCACCACTTGTAGACCAGACTGTAGTGGAATGACCTGTGGGATGCAAAAGGCAGTACTTGCTCTGAGACTGGACACAGAGCTCTTGGCCAAGATGCTGATATGGGCAATGATGTGAGGCTACGGGGACAGTCTAGTCTAACTCCCCCAGTTAGATTTGCATGGTAGGAACCAGAGCCATGGGTGTGCCACAGCAGAGCACAGCCACCTGGCAGTTTTACTAACCCTAGAAGGCCTTCAGTAGTGCCATCTCACTTTTAGATTTGGGTCCACAGTAAATAATATGGCTCATCAGGTCCAGGGACTCATTATGCTATGACATCTGCGGCCCAATCTAGCAGCCAGTGGGGGCAGAGGCTCCATCTGTTACCTGGTAATGGTCCATCAGTAGGAGATTCCCTCTGACCACACTTGTGGGTTCTCCGCTGCTCAGCAAGACCTTGGCCATCAAGTCTGTATATCCCTTGAAGAACACCACTGGCCGCAAGTGAACGTCAAAGAAAGCGGCAGACATCCCAGCCATGAGCTCTGGCTCCTCTTGGCCTTCCAGGGTGTTTTCTCCAAGCATAGACTCCATCCCTTGTGCTTCAAGAGTGACCTAAGGCGCAGAGATAGAGCCCTGTAAAGCTAGCAAGGGGGGTTGATGCCTTGCGATGCTACTTGAGATATCACACCCGTGTTGTTGGGCTGCCCTATAGGTAGCCCACCTCAGCCATGTGAAGCCGATGGCCACAGCTGAACAGCGAGAAGTCAGAGATGCTCTTTCTCAGGAGTCCCCCCTCCGCAAACAGCAGCTCCAGCCCGAAGGTGGAGAGCAGATCCTGGGTGACTGAAAGACAGAGAGGTGCCCATGAGCCGGCCAGTGCAGYGGGATGGAGGCAGGAGGCGACTCCTTGATCTGGGGAGATGAAAACTGATCACAAGGATTCCAATAACAGCTGCAGGGGATCAGCAGTGACTAGCCTATAAGAGAGCCCACCAAGGAGCTGCAGCCCCTGCTGAGGAGCTGGCAACTTGAATGACAGGGAGGTCTATTTCCCATGCCTAGCACAACAGAGCTGCTGCTCAGCCATGCAGGTGAGTCCTTGCAAAAAGCCCATCTAATGTTTTTTTTTTTTGTCCTCACACTCCCCTAAGCAGAGGGCATGTTGTAAGTGCAAGGCTAGAAGGAGAGGGCTTGAAGAGGGCCAGAAGTGGCTGCTGGCAGGTGGGGATTTAAGCAGATATCTAGCAGGCATTAATTTCCATGTCTCTGAAGTCTGGTGGCTTTCTTTATCTCAGCCCAAGGATTCTCTGCTTTGAAATGCTTATTAAAAATACCTAAGGAGCTGCCTTATCAGGCAGAGCCCAGAGACTCCCTCCCCTGCTCTGCCCCCTTCAGATGGAATTCCTTTCCCAAATGAGCAGGATCTGGGGAAAACATGTGGAAACGAGTGGTTGAGAAGGAGCCAGAGGAGGCCATGTGTGTATGAGGAGAGGATGTGACAACGCAGAGGTGACACCTGCTTTTGAGCTCTGCAAGATGCTTGGGGGAGATGCTCAGAAGTCTTGGGATAGGTTTGCTGGAATGTCTGCAGCCCAGAGGCACCTGCTGGAGCCCCCCTGGGGTGGAGGGGAGCAGTGGGGTCTGTGGTGTCACCTGCCAGGGGCCCAGTGAAGGCAGAGGACATGCCGGCTTTGGAAAAGCAGTTGTAGTTGTTGATCCGTGGGTCTCTCATGATGGTCTTCACCACGTTCCTGGAAGCAAGAAGGAAAAGGTGAATGAGGACAGGAAAGGAAGGGGGATTTCCAGTTACAGTTCAATAGAAGCCACATTAATCTATGGAAAAGAAAATGCTAGTGGTCTGTAAGGAACGAATGAAATATTTAAAAACTACATGGGAAAAAAGAAGCAATCTCCCAACCTTTGCTGGAGCAGCTGTGCAGAGCAGCACCCGTTTGTGTTTTACAAGGCGATGAGCCCCAAAAGGGTCAACTCAGGGTTTATCAGAGTTGACCGCTTGAATGTTTGTGTGCAGCTTTTGCCTAGCTTGGAGAAGTTTGTGCTTTTCAGGTTGTTTTGTGCCCATAGACAGATTAAGCTTGTTACAAGCTGTGCACTGTGCTGCAAGCTGGAGCTTTCACCTCCAAGGACTCTGCTGTTGGCCTTCTGCTGAGCTCAGCAAGCGGCCTGGGCACCCAGTTCAAAAGCCACAGCTTTGGTGCAAGGGAGGAAGAAAGCACTGTAGACTGATTGTACAGGGGTTTAAAAATTATAATATAAATCATAAATTATAATAAATAAATTCTCTCCTTGACCGACCTGGCCGGGTGGTGCTCAGCATGCAAGCTGTTCTGGACCTTCATCTGCAGGAGCGTGGCCATTTCGGGCTCCAGCTCCTTGGTGGCCAGCAGGATGTTGACGATATCCATGGGCAAAGGCTCGTTGTCCATGAGGATGTCGGCAGCAGCCAGGCGGCAGGTCTTCTCGTAGCTCTTCCTCGTCTCGTGGAAAATCCTCCTCATCGCTCTCTTCACCTGGTGCAAGAACGCAACAATAATGGAATGGATGGAATTATTGATGGATGATGTGTYGAGAATGGTGGCCAAGCCTCATGGGCTCTGCTTGGCACCCTCAAGTGTCCTTGTACCTCCTTGGAGATGTGATGTGTGGGGAAGCTCCTCAGGGCGGTCACGGCCGCGGCGGCCACCACCATAGGGCCTTCCTCAGCGTGACGCAGGAGCATGGGGATGGCCTCGGGCAGCATGGCGTTCCTCAGCGACACCAGGTACGTGAGCACCTCCGACTCCTCGCTGGTGCTTCCCAGGCCCCGCAGGAGGGTCTCCGCTCCACGTGACACCTCCTGCGTGGGGTTTGARAGGGGAGAAGAGGATGAGGAAGGAAGAAGGGATTGTGTTTTGTGTGACTCTGGAGGAAGAGGAAGGGTCTCCAGGCTGGAAAACCCTATGGGCATCCACCGGGGAACCCACCTGCGATCCACACAGCTCCTGCTGGCAGAGTTTGCCGATGAGGGAACCTATTGCAACAATCCCTGTCTCCCAGACCTCTGGTTCCAGCTGCTTCCCTTGGAGCTTGTCCTGGAGGGAGGATTTTTTCACAGCAGGTAATTTAGATCTTACCTGCCATGAAGAGCTTCWTGCCAAATGCTGGTGTCCAGCTTGGACCCTAAAAGACGGAGGAAACACTGCTACTTACTAGCACCAAGGTGAGAAGCTCCTTGGAAGGCCGGGGGGAGAAAGCTGCTGCGTAGAGGAACGTCTCCAWCAGGGACTTGGGGGCCTTGCCAAAATCCAGGTAGTCGGAGAGAGCTGCCAAGGATGCCACGGATTGTGCGGCCACTGCGGCCTCCACAAAGAAGGGGCTGGAGTGAGAGGAGATGCTTGTCAGAGTGGTCCGAGGTGCCTGGTGGGATCCGTGACCTTGCCCCAGGCCTGGGCACTGAGGAGAGCCAGGTGGGCATCCACACTATGGAGGATAAGCTGGGAAAGCTCCCGTGCTAGATATGGGTTATGGAGCAGCACATTCAGAAGTGACCCCAGGGTCCTACCCTAGGTGTGGAGAGCCACATGGGGGGCTTACACCATCTCCTCCGGAGCCTTGCCCAGCAGCTGCAGGATATCCCTCTTCTTGGCTCTGCGCAGCATCTGGATGAACCTCTGGAAGTGCCACGTTGTTGCCACCTTGGCTGTGTCCATCTTCACTCGCCAGCGGTCGGAAACCTTCAGGTAGGTCTGGAGCTGGAGAGACAAGGTTTGCTTTAATACTGATGCCAAGTGCCATCTATCCTCGTTTCCCAGGATCCTGAAAAAAGTTTAGGAAACGACCCAAAACAGTGGTACTCACCGAAGGGCAATGGATGCAGACCCTCCGGAAAGGCAGGCCGGCCATGCCCAGGGGCTGGCGCTTGCCCTCCGTGCTGGCCAGCACCTCCTCCAGGCTTTGTCCGGGCACCTCTGCAGGACCAGGTGTGGAAGAAGACACCAGCTCAAGCTGTTGCCTGTCGAGGGAGAAGCGATGGGGAGTGTGGTTTAGCCCCTCCTCAGCTCAGAGGCTGGTTGGGTTTAGGCAGGTTTGGAGAAGGAAGATGCAGGAGGAGACACGAGTTATTTTGGGGAGGCCAAAGCACAGAGGAAGGCATCATCTTCAACTGGACRGTCACCCCATGCTGTCTACTATAGACACAGGGTCATCCCTCACCTTGAATGGACCTCGATCCCAGTGGTGGACCTCAGGCTCAGGGACACCGTGTGACTCTCCTCCGCTAGCACTGACTGGATGATGTTGTCTCTCACCAAGTAGAGACTCTTGCTCATGGGTTGCCACTGGATGCTGAAAATCTTAAGAAAAGGAAGGCCAAAGGAGGAAAAAAATGGTATATCTTTCTCATATTCTGTMTCCCCTTTCCAGTGTAGGAAGAAGTGGGCACGGAGCCAGTCTCCTTGCAGGCCTGGTTGATGGTAGCCCCTGGTGAGGACCACAGTGTGCACAAACTCTGGCACCCTGGCTGACATGATAGGAAGACTGGTGACACCATGTGGATGGTCTCTCTTACTACACATATATTTGCTAGTACTACTTCTGTAGCGTCCCCAGCAAGTGTCCTGCGTGGGAGGAGGCAGCACCTGCAAAAAAGACCTGCCTTGTCCCAATGAACACCTACAAGGCTGTCTGCTTTATCTTCCTCGTGCAAGAGATGCATGTGCCAGAGCTCACCTCTTGCCTCTGCTTCATCTCTCTGGGCTGGGAACCCAGAGACCACCTGTAGCAGGACTTAAGGAAGGCCCAGGTACACTTAACTGATCCACCAGTGGAGCCCTCCCACCATCAGCATGGAGGGAAAAGACTTGCCTTGTTTGCAGTGGCAAATCCAACCTTTGGCTTTGTGCAGCTGAGGAGATCTTTTGTCTTCACAGCAGAATCATTGGAAACAGCGTATGTGACTTGACAGCTGCCAGAAATGTCCTCCTGAAACACAGCTAGGTGTCAGAAATCGCGGTGACTGGATGTCACTGAAGCTTGAGAGCCTGAAGGAAGTGATCTGATCTATCCCCAGCTCCATGCCTACCTCCACTGCCGTGCCGGGATGGGGTTGGACCTGGAGCAGCCCGACGAGGCCTCGCTTCAGGTTGGTGACCAGGGGACTCTCTGCTGTATCTCCATACAAGGCCTTGACCTGGAAGGATCAAACAGGTGTCTGGCCACGTGGCAGCAGGTTCTCTGCTGAAAGGTGTCTTCTCTCCCAACCTAAGCAACAGGAGATGTTCTACATCCCTGAATAGCCCAGGCTTGAATTTGTGGATATGTACTGGGAAGCCATCTATCTCTAAGCCTAGCTTTCCTGCYTTTTTTCCCCCCAAAGTCTTAGGAGCAGAAGGTCAGAAAGGAGCTTCCATGCTGAGATTAAGGCACTGCTGGAAAATGATGCCAAGTCTGCAGCAGGGTCCCAGACTGGGACATCTGGGATGGAGCCTGTTCTCACGCGTGCCCCTTGGTCAGTTTGCCATGACACCAGTGGCTGGAGGCTGCTTTCCGCTCACCTTCCCGCCGTTCCAGGAGATGAAAACAGGCTGCTGCAGCTCTGCTTGGATCTCCTGGCTCAGCATGATGGCCACAGATGAGTCTCCAGCACCATCCTGACTCCTCTTTGGCTCTGGTGCGTGATAGGGTTTTAGGTCTTGGATCTATTATGGAGGAAGAGGGGAGAAGGCAACTCCAATGCAATGGATTCACTATAGAAAAGGTCTGCTATGAGCAGGACTAACAGCCCTTGGGCAACCCTGTGTACCTGCAGCTGGAGCAGCTCTTCCCCTGCTTGATGCCTCCAGAGCCGGTGCACCTGAACCAAAGCTTCAGCCTTCACCCAGCTTCCCTGCAGGGGTGGCTTGGACACGTAATCCAGCTGGACATCCAGGGAATAGCGGTACTGGTACAGGATCCCGGGCTGGAATGAGAGTGGCTGCAGGTTCCCTGTGGAAAGAAGTGCTGGTGCTTTCAGTGACAAGAAAAACAGTGTCCTGCTCTGTTATACCTTTTTTTCCCCCTTTTTCACCTCCATTTGAAGAGCAGTTCTGGCAGAAGGGCTCATCCTTAAGTCAAATTGTGGATACAGTTAAGCGAAGTTGCCGGGACCATCTTTGCTTTTCTCCTGTGTGGCTGGAGTTGTTTGCAGCCACTTGTCCCATTGAAATGCAAACATGGCCTGGGGAGTTTGCCCTTTTCTAAAGCTATTCAAAATGCCTCTCCTAATCTGACTCCTCTTGCTGGGTTTCTGTGAGGGYTGAAAGTGCAGCTACTTTAAAAATCCCTCTGAGAAACTATTGCATCCTTCAGGAATGGGAGGGGAAATGCCCATTTGAGGGGTTTTTGAGAGGAAAAATGCAATTACCCAGGCCATTCCTGTAGCTGCTGCAGTGCTAACTCTTGGGGTGTAGAAGGGGCTTCCCTTGCGGAGGGGGCTGAGCGCTGGGAACCCACAGGCAAAGTCTCTTACCTCGAGCYGAGCTCCCCCAGGCCAAGCAAAGCAGGCAAACGCATCCCAAAAATGCCTGCGGACTCATGGCGGGATTCAGGARCTGGGAAGGAAGGGGGTGGGAGAAGGGGCTGCGCAACAAAAGCAGCCGAGATCTGTGCCCAGCCTCCTCCCAACGCGCCCAAGAGAAAGCAAATAATTAATCCTTGCACCAGCCCCCGGTGGCCGCAGAGGGTTTGGAAATGCAAAGATTCCTGCCAAAGGCCAGTGGAGGGGGAAGTTGCACAAACTGAGCGTTTGCATGAAAGGCAAAGCCTTGCATTGCATTTAATCAGCCCCAYAGAACTGGAAATTTGGGTCAAATGGAGGAAACTGGGGTCAGTAAAGGCTTTAGGGCCAGGATTTGGGGGGTGGGGGAATATAGTTTTGGCTATCTTAGCCCTCTTCATGTATGAGGAGTATTGACAAGCCAGCTCCAAAACCATTGACCAGCCTGTGGATGTGGTTCCCAACAGGATCTTTATTCAGATCTTTATTCAGAAAGCAGCTAGAGTTGCACTGCAGAGTGTTGCATGGATGGCACCCGGCTGCCTGGGCTGCTCCTCCTGGGATGAACGGAGCTGGTGGACATCTGTGGTGAGGATGCGCTCTGAGAAAACATTTGAGGGGGATTCAAGTCCTGCCGAACACTGAAATGAAGCTCTTTGGCTTTTTGAGATGTTCAGGMGAGCTAAGGAAGGGAATTATCTGTTGCTCCACTCTCACATCTCATGATGGGCTGGACCTGTGTGGTGTCATGGGGAATATAAGGTAGCAATGGGCAGGAGAAGTGGTCACGTAGCTGGGAAGGCACAAGGGCTGGGATTTTTGGGGTCCTCAGTGAGTCTCTAGACTAACCCAGCCATCCTGGATCCACCGCAGAGCGGAGCCGGTCGGCATGGCCGGGTCACTGTGCCAGGTCAGCGGGGCCCTTGGTCACCCAGTTGGGACACAGGGGTGGACTTTGGCAGGGCTGGAGGAAAAGCTCTTGGCTTGACCTCAGGCGCCTCCCACTTGGGTGGGAAGAAGGGGTTGAGCCCTGGCAGGATGGAGGTCTCATCCATGTCCCCAAGGAAGGGGACAACACGGTGCTAACCTGCGGGCAGCCATGGGATGGCCTTGCTGGGGGGGTCCCCAATGGGCATCTGCCTGCCCGGCATTGGCATGGAAAGCTGCTCCGAAAGGTGGGAATGAGGCGGGAGGGGGCTCAGTGCTGGCCCTTCATCCTTCACTGTGCCCGTGGGCATGTCGATCCAGCCTGTGGAAAAGGGGGAGAACAACCACCAGGGGAAGAGCCCACACAGATCCTGGTGTTTCCCATTAGGTCCTGCCAGAGTAATAAATCTCAAGGTGCTAACCCTGTGGGATGGCCCTCCTATTTGGGCAGGACACTTATATGATGAGAAGGGGGCAAGAACTGCTTTTTTGCATGACAAGTATCCCTCTGGGAATATCTTAACGCCCCAAATGGGAGCTGAGGGGTGGGAAATAGAGGTATGGTGTGGATATATGGTAAGCAATGGGTGCCTTCTCCTTTGTTTGGTCTGGTCTGGTCTCCAGAGCATCCTCAGGGGCTCACTGGCCCTGCAAGGGAAAGAAATGGGGGAAAAAGGGAAGAAAAGCCAGTTACTCACCTCTGTGCCAGCTGCTGCAAGCCCTCAGTTCCCAGAGCACTGGCCAGGCTCGTGACACCCACCAATAGCAAGCGGCTCGYGTGGGATTTATAGCGGGCCGGTGTTGACACCTCCGGGCCAAGCGACGCTTCCCACCAGGAGAAGCGGCAGGTGAGTCTGTGCTGACGCTGGGAATGTGCTGAATGGCTGGAAAAGGAGCCTGCTGGGAGAATCCCCGGAAAAAGAGCTGCATGTTGATGCTGCTGGTGCTTTAAACCTTTGAAAATCTGTGCCCGTCTTCTGGAGAACTATGTGTCTCTTTGGGGACCAGTTACTTGCTTTTTCTGCTCCCTTCTGGGGGCTGTGGGTGAAGGTCTCTGGGTCTTGCTCTAAAACCTACTGGGAAACCAGATCAATCTGGAGCAGTTTGAGGAGTTTTTCTGCTATATGGGAACTTTTTGTTGAACTCCAGAAGCCATTTGATATCATGCCAGAGGTCTCCTGATGAGGTGATGCTGGCTGCATGTGAGAGCAYGATCCATTAGGAAAAAGAAAAAGACCAGAGAAGCCAGTGTTGGGATCATCTTTCCATTGCCTGTGACCCCTGGGAGATGCATGTGACTTGTGAGGCATTTTGCCAACTCTTGGCATTTTATTTATGGTTTTTTTTTTTACCATTAAACACGCAGTCAATAAGATTGATAAGGAAGCTACGATTTGGGAGCTTGTCAGATGGAAACATCTAAACTCTTTGGGTGATGGAAGAGCAGGAGGACACGAAGGATGTTTTCCAGCATGGAATTAGTGTATGTGCAGGAAAAGCATGGGAATTCTGTGTATACAGGACAGCTGAGAGGGATTTTTTAATTCTTTTTTAAAGATTATTTTAATGCAAACAGCTGCTCCTGGGAAAGAGCTGTCTCGGTTGTGGTTTAGCTGTCTGGGAGCAGCTCTGCTCTCGACACTGGGCTGAATGTATCCCATTGCCAGTGGAAAGCTGCTTGCAACATGTGGATTAATCCTGGTCTTTAATAATATTTATTGGGTGAAAGCAATCTGCTGCTATTGCATTTGGGAATTAGTGCCCTGTGGATTGTGCAGGTTTTGTTTACTTGCCAGGCTTCCTCTGCAGCTCCTGGGGTTGTCACTCGATGCCGTAAAACCCCATGCTGCTCAACTGGCCTGGCCAAAGGCAGCAGGATGTGGTAATCCGTGGAAAGGCTCCAAGCTGGGCGGGATCCCAGCAATCTGGGTGGCAAAAGGGGGSTGAAATCCCACTTTTACCTTTGTTTTCCTTCATTCTTGACTGAAACAGAAGATCCCGTTCAAAACACGCATGTAARTTCCAGTCCAAACCACCCTCATCCCACTGGGGCCCGTCCCGCGCTCCCAAGGAGGCGCCTCGACCTTGGGGCTCCGCTCAAGTCGCTCGAGCGCCTTGTCCCAACCACCGCGCGCGGCCGACAGAGCGGCGATGCCGAAACGCGGGTTTTGGGGGCAGA